CACCCCCTGCTCAAAGCAGGACCAACCCCAACTAAATCATAGAAGCCTCTCATCAAAGGCAACAGGAACTGATTTTTCCAACATCCATAGATTTCTAAGGCCCGAAAGGACCTTTCTGATCATCTAGTCTGACCTCCTGTATTGCACGGGCCAGAACACCTCACACAGTGATTCTGCACTCAGCCCACAATTTCCCTGTGAGCTGCAGTGTATCTAGTCTTCAGTTAAAGACTCCAAGGGAAGGAGAATCCACCGTGTCCCTTGGTTATCTGCTCCCTCGGTTAATGACCCTGACTGATGAAATGTGAACCTTATTTCTCGTCTGAATTGGGTTGTGACGGGAACAGGGACACACCCCGTCTCTTACAGTCTGTCATTCACTCCGTGCTTTGGCCTCCGCAGGCTCAGAGTTAAAGGGTCGTCTGTCCTGCTGCCAGCTCGTCTGTGCCCCCTAATCTCAGCCTCTCGCTCTTGTCTTCTGCTCTTTCCAGCTGCGGGACCATCACCGACACCACACCAGGATCCCTCAGCACCATCTGCTGCAACGGGCTGGAGGGTCGCTACGTCACCGTCACCATCCCGGGCAGGGCGGAGTATCTCACCCTGTGTGAGGTCGAGGTCTACGGCACTCAGCCGGGGGATGAGTGCTAGGAAGCAGGAGTGACACAGTCCATGGTGAGGGGATGGGAAGAACCTCTCCTTGCGCTGGGGAGTGGGGTTTGGTGCAGAAATTACCCGCTGTCCCCTAATAAACTCCACTGGTCCCTTCCTGCATCTCTCCTGTCGTTTGTCTCCATCACCCATGTCTCCCCTCCCCTTCCCTGCCCCTACAGGCCACGTGGTTCTGATCCCACACGAGTCAGAGGGGCCTCGGCTCCAAACCCCAGAAGGGCTTTGGATTAATCCAGTTCTGCTGCTGCTTCCAGCCCTTCCCTCGTCCCAACGCCCGCTGCCCATTCCCCAGCCTGCTCCCTCCTCTGAGTACAACCCGCTCTCTGGCTCCCCTGTCCCTTCTCCCAACCTGGGGCCGAGGCGCCTGTTCTCCATTCCTCCATCAACCCAACGCTCCTTAACAACCCTCCCCCGAACTCCAGCTGCCCTGCTGTCACTGCTAGCCCTGGGCCATCAGCAGAGCGGGGCTGGCTTTGGCCTGTCCATCCACGAACTCTGCAGCGACTTGGGCCCTTCTGGGATGCCTCTGACCCTGAGGAGCCCCAGGAGGGTGGAAGAGCAGAGCTGACAGCTGATATGGGGCCAGATTCCAGGCTGGTGCAATTGGGCACAACTCCACTGGTGGCACTGGGATTGCAGCCGCTTATGCCAGGGCTGAATTTCACCCCTATATTGTGCACAGTGATCGTGAGCCAGGCAGCGGCAACAGAGCGGTGCCCAGCCCCGAGCCTGGGCCGTGAGGTGACTATTAATGTGTGGAGGAGTACGGCCAAGTTCCCGTAGTAACAGTTTGATGTACGTCTGCTGTCATCATCCTGGCGTCCCCCCCACAGCTCGGCCGATGCCCCTCAGTCCTGCCCCCAGCCTCCTGCTATCCCACAGAGCAGTGTTTGCTGAGCAGACACAGACATTCGGGACACTTTGTACTGTGACTCTGCTGTGGGCAAATGGCCAAAGGAGACATTGACTTTCTATAGACTCATAGGCTTTAAGGTCAGAAGGGACCAGCATGAGCATCTAGTCTGACCTTCTGCACATTGCAGGCCACAGAACCTCACCCACCCCCCCCCCCACCGCTCCTGGAACAAACCCCTAACCTCTGGCTGAGTTACTGACGTCCTCACATCATGATCTGAAGACTACACCTTACAGAAAATCCACCATTTGCACTCGTTTAAACCTGCAAGTGACCTGTGGCTCGGAGGAAGGGGAAAAATCCAATCTGACTCAGGGGGAAATTCCTTCCCGACCCCAAACATGGCCAGTTAGACCATGAGCATGTGAGCAAGACCCACGAGCCAGACACCTGGGGAAGAATCTCTGTAGCAATTCAGAGCCCTAGCATCCCATCACCAGTCATTGGAGTTATTTGCTGCTAGCAGTCACAGATCGGCTACACGCCATTGTAGGCAGCCCCATCATACCATCCCCTCCACAAACTCAACAAGCTCAGTCTTGAAGCCAGTTAGGTTTTTTACCCCCACTGCTCCCCTTGGAAGGTGGCTCCAGAACTTCACTCCTCTGATGGTTACAAACCTTCACCTAATTTCAAGCCTAAACTTGTTGCTGGCCAGTTTATATCCCTTTGGTCTTGTGTTCACATTGGTGCTTAACGTAAATAACTCCTCTCCCTCCCTGGTATTTATCCATCTGATGTATTTACAGAGAGCAAGCAGATCTCCCCTCGGCCTTCTTTTGGTTAGGCTAAACAAGCCAAGCTCTGAGTCTCCTCTCAGAAGGTAGGTTTGCCATTCCTCGGATCATCCTAGTAGCCCTTCTCTGCACCTGTTCCAGTTTGAATTCATCTTTCTTAAATGTGGGAGACCAGAACTGCACACAGTGTTCCAGGTGAGGTCTCACCAGTGCTTTGTATAAGACACTAACACTTCCCTGTCTCCACTGGAAACACCTCGCCTGATACATCCTAGGACTACATTCGCCTTTTTCATGGTCGCCTCACATTGGCGGCTCATAGTCGTCCTGTGATCAGCCAATACACCCAGGTCTTTCTCCTTCTCTGTCACTTCCAACTGATAAACTTATAGCAAAAATTCTTGTTAGTCCCTAAGTGCCTGACCTTGCACGTTGCACTATTAAATTTCATCCTATTGCTATTATTCCAGTTTTCAAAGTCAATCAGACTTCTTGTATGATATTCCGATCCCCCTCCATATTGGCAATACCGCCCAACTTTGTGTCATCTGCAGATTTTATTAGCAAACTCCCACTTTTTGTGACAAGGACATTAAAATATGTGAAATATGATTGGTCCCAAGACTGATCCCTGAAGAACTCCAGTTGTAGTCTCCCTCCAGCCTGACAGCTCACCTATCAGTATGGCCCGTGGTAGTCTCCCCTTTATCCACCTTTCAGTTCTCAAATTAATCCCCATCTTCTTCAATGTAACTAATAATTTCCCATGTGGAACTGTATCAAATGCTTTATGGAAATCCAGGTAGATTAGATCTACTGCATTTCCTTTGTCTAAAAAATCAGTTATCTTCGCAAAGAAGGAGATCAGGTTGGTCTGGCACGATCTACCTTTTGTAAAACCATGTTGTATTTAATCCCAATTACCATTTACCTCTGTGTCCTTAACTACTTTCTCTTTCAAAATTTCTTCCAAGACCTTGCATACAATTGGGGTCAAACTAACAGGCCTGTAGTTTCCTGGATAATTTTTCTTCCCTTTCTTAAAACTAGGTACTATATTAGCAATTCTCCAGTCGTAGGATAAAACCTCTGAGTTTGCAGATTCATTAAAAATCCTTGCTATTGGGCCTGCAATTTCATGTGCCAGGTCCTTCAATATACTTGGATGGAGATTATCCAGGCTCCCAATTTAGTCCCATTAAACTGTTTGAGTTTTAATTCCACCTCGGATGTGGTAATTTTGACTTCCGTATCCTTAGTCCCTTTAGCCACCCGGCCCCTACCTGTGAGCTCTTCATTACCATTATTAAAAACTCAGGCACAGTATTTGTTTAGGAGTTGTGCCATGCCTAGATTATCTTTCATCTCCACCCCATATCTGCAGAGGCTTCTGCTGCTTGATCTTGTAATGTGATTAACTCCATTTATTCATTGGGCAAAGACATCCTACATCGCCCACCCACTCTTCAGGAATATCGCTGCTGGAACTGGGAGTGGAAGTCTGCGATGGTTTGTAAAACAATCCTCAGTGTCTCCACTCGGGGCAGCAGCGTCACCCTGGGAGGGGAAGGGAAGGTCACTGGGAAGAAGATGCTGGGCTGATCCCTCGCTCCTGCCTGGGCTGGGGGGTTTTCCCCAAGTGACCCTCTGAAGAGAAGGGCTGAGACCCTTGGCACTGGGCCACTGAACCCTCAGCTGGCAGAGCTCTGGGACTCTGCTGTAGGGGGCATTGCTGCAGATGGGCCGGCTGGTCCCTGCTGGTGCTCCTCCATCTCTCATGGCCCCGGTGCAGGGATACAGGAGGGCTCAGCTCTGCAGGAGCCTGCGGCCCAGGGCCTGATTCATGGGGAAAGCCTGATTATGAAAAGGATCATGTTGTGGGTGTGATGAAGGGACTTTACCCTTTCCTGGCTGTAGGCACCAGGCAAGGGGTGAGGCCAGCCTGAGCTCATTCATAACCCATCACCAAACCCCACCTCATCACCCAACCCCCAAACCCTCACTGATCCTGACCCGTCACCCAATGCCTGTCACCCATCACCCAACCCCTGACCCATCTCTGACGCTGACCCCATCACCCAACACTGCCTTGTCACCCATCACCCAACTCATCACGGACCCTGACCCAATCTCCCCACCCCACCTTCTCATCCATCCCCACGCATCCATCACCCAACCCCTGACCCATCTCTGACCCTGACCCCATCACCCAACCCCACCTTCCCCCCCATCCCCACGCATCCATCACCAAACAACACCCATCTCTGACCCCATCACCCAACCCCACCTTCTCACCCATCCCCACGCCTCCATCACCAAACGCCACCCATCACTGAACCTGACCCCATCACCCGTCACTGAACCCCACCCTGTCACCCTAATCAAACCCCATCCGTCCTCTGTCACCTGCCCCAACCCCGTCTCCTGTCACTGAAATGGAACTCCTTGTCCTGTGGTACCTGACGTGGTGGGTGCCCCGGCGCTGCCCGAAGGTGCTCCCTGGGGTCAGTACGATCCCCGTCGCCTCCAGCAGCTTCTGACAGAAGAAGAAATCAGGCTCCAGACCGAGGGCCTAGGAGGAAGAAAGGGCATCAGGAGGGTCACTCCTCACGCTCTTGGCCAGGCTGGGCCTGCCTGCTCCCCACACACCACTGGGCTGCTCCATGCCCGGCTCTCACCTGGGCCTCCTGCTCAGCCCTGGCTGGGATCTGGATCCTGGGGAAGGAGTACATGGCGCCCTGCACGGGGTTACAGCGGATCCCGGGCACCTGGCTGAAGATCTCCTGGATCAGCTGCGCTTTGTGGGCCAGGTTACTTAGCACCACCTGCTTCTCCTGGGAGCCGCCGAGAGAGAGAACCACAGTGCTGAGTGCAGGAGGTAGGTGTTCTCCTCTGGGAATAGAACCCAGGCGTCCTGCTCCTGGCTCTAACCACTAGACTCCTCTCCCGCGTAGAGAGAGGAGTAGAACCCGGAGCCCTGACTGTCAGGCGCTGCTCTAACCACTAGCCTGCAGCCTCGAGCTGTGCCCGCCCCCAGCTGCTCTTTCACCGACACCTGCCGAGGCCGAGCATTGTCTGATGAGCTCAGCTCAGCAGCAGAGGAGACTGTTTCCTCCTGAGCTGGGCACCACTCTGGCGTCCCTCGAGCCACCCTGACTCTGCCACACCCCAGCTGTTGGCTGTTCCCAGCGCCAACCCTCAGCACCATGCACTCTTCCTTCTTCGCCTGCCATGCCCTGGAGCCACCTGTGCCCTCCCCCCTTACCTGTGCTCTGGACCTGCCCGTGGCATGTTCTGCCTAGCGTCTCTGCCTCTCCCCCTGCACCCAGGTGCTGCATCCCCAGTCCCAGACCAGCCTGCCCACCTTTCCCTGTGCCCTGCACCTGTGTCCCTCCCCACTCCCCCAGCCCTCCCGCCCTGCCATGCGGCATGCAGCACCCACTGCCATGAAGGTCCGGCAGGAGGGCTCCCCGGGCAGTGGCGGCTCCATCAGGGCATCCAGCAGGACCTGGCCCAGGATCAGGGGGTAGACGGACATTCCCCAGGAGCAGAAGCATTTCATGATTGCTGGGTCGATGTTCACAAGCTCAAAGAAGCCGGCCCGGAAACCGCCCCTGCCAGAGCAGAGAAGAGGTAAGCTCCAGGGGCCATGCCCAGCCCTGGACCCCACTCACCGAGCGTCAGAGCCTTGGGGCACAGCTGGGGGGCTCCTGGATAGAGGGGGCTGGACTGGCCAGGGCTCTTCTACCTCTATTCGGCATTGGTGAGGCCTCACCTGGAGTACTGTGTTCAGTTTTGGGCCCCACACTACTAGAAGGATGTGGAAAAATTGGAAAGACTCCAGCGGAGGGCAACAAAAATGATTAGGGGGCTGGAGCACATGAGTTATGAGGAGAGGCTGAGGGAACTGGGATTGTTTAGTCTGCAGAAGAGAAGAGTGAGGGGGGATTTGATAGATGCTTCCAACTACCTGAAAGGGGGTTCCAAAGAGGATGGAGCTCGGCTGTTCTCAGTGGTGGCAGATGACAGAACAAGAAGCAATGGTCTCAAGTTGCAATGGGGGAGGTGTAGGTTGGATATTAGGAAACACTATTTCACTAGGAGGGTGGTGAAGCACTGGAATCGGTTACCTAGGGAAGTGGTGGAATCTCCTTCCTTAGAGGTTTTTAAGGCCCGGCTTGACAAAGCCCTGGCTGGGATGATTTAGTTGGGGATTGGTCCTGCTTTGAGCAGGGGGTTGGACTAGATGACCTCCTGAGGTCCCTTCCAACCCTGATATTCTATGATTCTATGATTCCTCTTTATCTGTTAGGACAAGGTCTACTAATTCCCCCCGTTGGCTGCAACACTTTTTGAGTTAGGAAATTGTCATCTATAATGGTTAGAAATTCCGATAATCTTTTAGTACTGGCAGCATGAGACCTCCAGCGTATGTCACTCAGATTGAAGTCCCCCATGATCACGCACCTTTTTCCCCCTACATTATAGATGGATGGGTAAGGAGCAGGTCATCCTGTTCCCTAGTGTGATTTGATGGCATGTAGCAGACACCAGCTAGTATCCCATCTTGTGCATTATCTGTTAGGCCATTGATCCATAATCATTCAAGATCATTTTCTTCTGAGTTAACCATGACTCCCAAACAGATCGTGCCATTTTTGACATGCAGTACCACTCCCCCTTCCCGTTGGCCCACTTGTGTCTTCCTAAATAGGTTATAAATATCGACTTTAACACTCCAGGCATGGGAATCAGCCCAGCAGGTTTCAGGAATACCAACTCGGTCACATTTACACTCATCAATGAGCAAGTCCAGTTCCTCGTCTCTCACCCAGGCTCCTCGCATTGGTGTAGAGGCAATTCAAGAATTTCTTCTCTTCGTGTCCTTTGGCTCCTTGATTCATTCTATTCTCAACATCGCGATTTTGGGCTGAGCGCTCCAAGCTTCCCTATTTTTACCCTCCTCTTTTGCTATTAGTTTAACCCCTTCCTGACCACTCCAGCCAGCCTGTTCCTGAGGAGGTTGGTCTCCCGTCTACTGAAGGGGAGGCCATCCAACCTATACAGCCCCCTCTCCCCATAGAAGGTGGACCAGTGCTCCACAAAACCAAAGCCCTCCACCCTACACCACTTACTCATAGAGTAGACTCATAGACTTTAAGGTCAGAAGGGACCAATATGGTCATCTAGTCTGACCCCCCGCATGATGCAGGCCACAAAAACTGACCCCCCCACTTTCCCTTAGCTCTGCTGTTGAAGTCTCCAGATCGTGATCTAAAGACTTCAAGTCGCAGAGAATCTTCCAGCTCGCGACCCCTGCCCTATGCTGCGGAGGAAGGCGAAAAACCTCCAGGGCCACTGCCAATCCACCCTGGAGGAAAATTCCTTCCCGACCCCAAATATGGCGATCAGCAGAACCCCGAGCATACAGGCAAGATTCTCTAGCCAGACCCTCATTTTACCAGCGATGGCCGTTATTGCCTAATTGATTAGAATCACGTAATCCCATCAAACCATTCCCTCCATAAACTTATCTAGCCTAATCTTGAAGCCAGAGAGGTCTTTCGCCCCCACCGTTTCCCTCGGAAGGCTGTTCCAAAATTTCACCCCTCTGACGGTTAGAAACCTTCGTCTAATTTCAAGCCTAAATTTCCCCATGGCCAGTTTATATCCATTCGTTCTCGTGTCCACATTAGCACTGAGCTGAAATAATTCCTCCCCCTCCCTGGTATTTATCCCTTTGATATATTTGAAGAGAGCAATCATATCCCCCCTCAGCCTTCTTTTGGTTAGGCTAAACAAACCAAGCTCCTCGAGTCTCCTTTCATAGGAAAGGTTTTCCATTCCTCGGATCATCCTAGTTGCCCTTCTCTGTACCCGTTCCAGTTTCAGTTCATCCCTTTTAAACATAGGAGACCAGAACTGCACACAGTACTCCAAGTGAGGTCTCACCAGCGCCTTGTATAACGGAAGCAGCACCTCCCTGTCCCTACTAGAAATACCTCGCCTTATGCATCCCAAGATCGCATTAGCTTTTTTCGCAGCCACGTCGCATTGCCGACTCATAGTCATCCTGCGATCAACCAGGACTCCGAGGTCCTTCTCCTCCTCAGTCTCTTCTAACCTATGCGTCCCTAGCTTATAACTGAAATTCTTATTAGTCATCCCTAAATGCATCACCTTACACTTCTCACTATTAAATCTCATCCTATTACTAATACTCCAATTTACAAGGTCATCCAAGTCTCCCTGCAGAATATCCCGATCCTTCTCCGAGTTGGCAATGCCTCCCAACTTTGTGTCATCCGCAAACTTTATCAGCCCACTCCTACATTTGGTTCCGAGGTCAGTAACGAATAGATTAAATAAAATCGGACCCAAAACCGAACCTTGAGGAACCCCACTGGTGACCTCCCTCCAATCTGACAGTTCACCTTTCAGTACTACCCTCTGCAGTCTCCCCTTTAACCAGTTCCTTATCCACCTCTGGATTTTCCTATCGATCCCCATCTTATCCAATTTAACCAATAATTCCTCATGCGGAACCGTATCAAATGCTTTACTAAAATCGAGGTATATTAGATCCACCGCATTTCCTTTATCTAGAAGGTCTGTTACTTTCTCAAAGAAGGAGATCAGGTTGGTTTGGCACGACCTAGCCAGCGATTCATGGCCAGAATCTTTTGCCTTCAGTCTTCCTTTGCTTGTGGGACAGGAAGGATCTCAGAGATGGCTTGGACATTCTTCTTCTTCAGCATGCCTCTGAGTGTCCTGAGGTCATCTACTCTCTGTGAGCTATCATCAGTGCCGATGTGAACCATCACCAGTGGATCCTTGCCCATTGCCTTCAGAAGCCGAGCCAGTCTTGGCTTCAGGAAGGCAGCACACCATCCTGTTGTCTGCTTGTCCCTTGCAGAATGTTCTTTCGATTCTTCTGAGTATTGAATCCCCAACAAGGATCATCTGTCTTCCTTGGATGGTTGGAGAACTCTTCATGATTAAGCTTGATTTTCTTACAGGTTGGACCAAGCTGCCATCCACATGTGTCCCATACACCTTTCCGTTCCCCTAGACCTGCTGGCTCTGGAGAGTTTCCACACTGAGGCCCTGGTATTCATTTGAAATGTCTGGCTGTGTGGAATTCCTCCCGCTTCTCTTCTCTCTGGGGCCACAGTCTGTCTAGTCTCATCTGTCTCCAGCCGTGTAGAATGCTGCCATGACCTCCTGCCTCTGGTGGTTACCAAGAGCCAAGCCTCCTCTCTCACTCCCTCTCCTACCAATTCCTTTGTGGTCAGCTCCAATCTCCCTTGAACCTGGGGTACTGGTGTTCCCCGAACCTGGTTGTCTAGGAACTCCTCAGGTTCTCAGGTTCTTAGTAGTGTCTCAACTTGCCCCTCCAGTCCAAGAATCTTTTCTTCCAGCACAGCCACCAAGGTGCACCTCATGCACAGAAAATCCCTCCTGGCCTCAGGCCGGAGAGAGAACATGGCACGTCCAAGGCAGGTGTTCCATCCCTTCCCTCGCTGGCCACCTCCATTTCACACGTCATGCTGAACCAGGAAGGAAAGCCTCCCATGCTCCCTTTAACACCCCCTGTCTGCTGCCTCCGTGGCTCCCGAGTCTGCCCAGCAAGTGACTTTTTATACCAAGTCTTCCCGGCTCAGCTCCGCACACCCCACCAGGGAGCGATTTACATCAAACAGCTGGGCTGATCACAGCTCCAAGGATTGGGAGCTCCACAGGCAGTTGCTTTGAGCTGTCACTTGTAGTAAGAGGAGGCCCTGAGATATAAACCCTTATCAGAGGCCCAA